AAAAAAAAAAAAAGTTAAACATAGAATTATCATATGCCCCAGTGATTCCACTCTTAGGTGTATCCCCAAAACAATTGAAAGATGAACTCAAACAGGTACTTGTACATCAATGTTCATTGCAGCATCATTTCCAACAGCCAAAGGGTTGAAACAACCCAAGTGTCCATCAACAGATGATGGATAAAAACAGTGTGGTCCTTCCACACGATGGAATACTACTCAGCCATGAAAAGGAATAAAGCACTAATGCCTACTATAACATGGATGAATCTTGAAAACATGATGCTGAGTGAAGTAAGTCAGACACACAGGGTACATATTCTATGATTCCATTTATATGAAATATCTAGAGTAGGCAAATGCATAGAGACAGAAAGTAGGTTCAAGGTTAACAGGGGCTGGGAGAATAGGGAGTGATCACTAACACGCATATCAGACAGTGTTTCACTGCTATTTATAAGGTTTTCAGTGGCTTAGGCTCTGGGTCTGCTCTAGACACTGGGGACCCACTGTGAAGGGTCTGCAGGGAGTTGCCCAGCTAGATGGGGGGTGTATTAAGTTTGACCCAAAAGGGTGTATTAAGTATTAAGTAAGTCTGGGAGGGGGTCTAGGATGGTCTGCAGGTGTGACCTAAGGAAGTGAGACTCACTCAAAACAAGCAAACAACAAAACCCAAGCCCATTGCCATTGAGTCATTTCTGACTCACGGTGACCTCGTGTGTTACAGAATAGAACTGAGAGCTCCACGGGGTCTTCTTGGCTGTAATCTTTAAGGAAGCAGATCATTAGGGCTTTCTGCCATGGTTCTGCTGGGTGGGTTTGAACTGCCAATCTTTAGGTTAGTAGTGGAACACAAACCATTTGTGCCATCCAAGGACTTGAGACTCATGCAGGAAGGTCAGGAAACAAATACAATGAGTACCACAGGTCCCAGGGAGCTCTGGTAGCATAGTGCCTAAGGCATTTGACTGCTAACCAGAAGGCTGTCGGTTCAAACTCACCAGCCACTCCTCGGAAGGAAGATTGGGCAATCTACTTCCGTAGTGATACCACCTTGGAAACCCAAGGAAGGGTTGCTATGAGTCGGGTCTGACTCCATGGCACATAACAATAACAACCACAGGTCCCAGAGAGGGAACAATGGTTTGCCTTGATACAAGGCCACACAGGGGATTGCACCCAGGGACAAGGCAGTAACAAGCTAGAATTGTACAAGAGAGCTTAAGTAAGGCAAGTAGGGTGGGGTTTTGGGGCTAGCATGTGCAGTGAAGTGTTATTGGTTAGTCGAAATATTTCTAGGGCATTAGCTTGGGAAAAGAGAGATGTTTTAATCACTCATGTGGGGCATGGTCAGGAGGGGTAAGGAGTAACTGTGGCCTTTGAGAGACTGAGTTACAAGTTCCTATCATAGGCTACCATGTGGGACATGCCTGTGAGGGTCAGTTAGACACCCCAACAGATAAGAGGCTGTGTGATAAAATAGCAAAAGCCATATCCAATACTGAGTGAAAGGGCAACTAGGACAGATTAATGGATGCTTAGGCAGCAAGCAGGTCCCCGAGCTCAGTTGTACCCAGTAACACATGCAGTCACCATGAATCAGAATCAACTCAACAGCAGTGGGCTTGGTTTTTTTTTTTTTGGGTGGGGGGAGGTGCATAGGCAGCAAACTATGAAGGTATAAATTGGCCTAATGAAGTGGTGGGAGGGTGAGGTAGGCAGAGTTGCCTTGGGGCCGGGGTAAAAGAACCCAGAGAAATGGGTCTGTGACTAGGGGAGCTCAGAAGAGAGCAGTAAAGGCTTCGTTTAGGGGAATCACGGAAGACTTCTTGGAGGAGGGAATGTTCAAACTGGGCATTGACAGATAAATAGGAGTTTGCCGGTTCCACAAGGGAATAAAGGATGGGATCCAGTCAGCGTGTACAAAGATATATAGGCTGAGAAGCATGGAGGGAGGGAGACTAAGAGAAACACAGAGACATAGAGAGCCTGGACAGAGAAGCTCAGGGGGAGACAGATGACAGAGAAAGACGGAGAGATGAAGAGTCAGGGGCAGAAAGACCCAGCGAGAGAGACAGAGAGTGAGAGACAGAAAGAGACGTAGAACCGAGGAAAGGACGTTCAGGGAGAACAGAGGCTGCAGAGCCATAGAGCGACATAACACACAGAATCAGAGGAGACTCTGCGTGCAGGCTGCCCTCCGTGCGTGCTCCTGGGGGGCGGTTTGTAGACTGCGAGCCCCCGCCCCAGCGCTGGGCCCTTTAAACACCCCCCCCCCCAGTTGGCGGCGCCCCAGCCCCATCAGTAGTCTCCGGACTCCGCCCGCTGGCCCTGCATCAGCGCCACGTCAGGAGCTGTCCGCGCCCCCGGTGCTGAACCAAGATGGCCGGCGGCGGCGCTCAGGCCCCGGCGTGAGCCGAGCGCGCGCGGGCTGCAGCCCCAGCGATGCCTTAGCCCAGTGGCCACTGAGCCCGACCCTCGATACAGCCGGCCTGGCCGCCTCGGCCCGCCGGCGACCCCGGAGACATGTCTCTGCTGTGTGTTGGAGGTAGGAGGCGAGGCTGGGGGGCAAGGGGCCGTGTGAACGCGGGCTGGGCTGAGTCCGTGTGGATGCGACCAGGCTCCTGACAGGGTGGCCCGAACGCATGCGACTGGACTTCTGAGGCAGTAACCGTTGTAGACGCGGCCAGAAGCTCAGGGGGTCCGGGTGGCCGCTGCTGGGGGTCGTGGAAGCCCGTGTGGACACGGGCAGGGATATAGGGCTCCATCTGGAAACGGTCTAACTGGGGGCATCTGTGTGGACTGGGCAATTGGGGGTCCGTGTGGAAGAGGCCAGGCTGAGAGTTCCAGGGAGTGATTTCAGGGTTCTTAGAAGGAGGCTGTGAGTCGGACTGCTGGTCCCCCTGCGCGCAGACTGGGCTCGGAATTGGGGGGAAGTGCAGAGGAAGGGTCTTCCAGTCCGGCATCGTAAGATTTGGGCAGGGGGCTTGACTATCTGGACAACCGCGAGCTCTTGGAAGCCCCAAGTCCTGGATACGGAGAGGACCCGGGGTCAGAGAGACCCCTCTCAACATCCAGAGAAGCCAGTGATTGGGGTCTGGGGCTTTTTTTCCGGTTAACTCTTTCGCTTCTCAAGTGGGGGCTGAGGGAATGGTCTGAGGACCTCCCCCTCCTCTTTCCTGCCCTCTCCAGTGCCACCCCACCCCCCAGACGCCTATCCTGCCTTCTCCAGCAGGGACTAGACCCTTGGAGTGGCGGTGTCCTCCACCCTCCTCCCTGCCCAGCCTCACCTCACCCACTCTGCGCGGGAGAAAGGAGGGAGGGAGACGTGGGGGTGTAGCTATTTTGGGGCCAGAACACCATCTGCACAGAGGCCTACGCCCAGACCCACGCTTAGCGTTGGGGGGGAGGAGGAGAGACGCGGGCGGGACACGACCCTCCCCCTACTTTAGAGTCTGGGGTGAGGGAGAAGCCAGTCCACCAGAACCCAGGCTCCTGGGCAGGCCTGCTGCGAAGTTAGGCTCTCAGGAGACCTTGGGCAGCGGGGCTGGCGGTGGTCCCGGGCTCAAGGCCTCCCGAGGTCTGACCCCTAAGTTTTAAGGACTGGGGTCCGCCTCCCTCATTCCGAACCCCTTCAGGAAGCCTGGGGTGGGGGAAGGGGTGTGTCTGCCAAGCCTGAGATGTCAGGCTCCGGGAGACCTTGGGCGGCGGGGAGTGTGCGCTGTTCAGTTGTCTGTGGGAGCCGAAACCTGCCTCCCCATGAGCCTGAGAAGGGCAGCCCCGGGAGCCGGGAGCCGGGAGCCGCCCCCGCCGCCCCTCCCCCACGGCCCCCCTCCTCTTCGGCCGCTCCATTCACAAACCCAGCCCCGCCTGTCTGCTCCCCGCCCGCGGTGGCAGCTTCCGTGCAAATCGGGCGGTGCTGGGGTGGACGCGGGTGTTCTTAAAGGGGCAGGGGCCCCATTTTCCCAAGCTCACCCCGGGTGGGCAGGGCTGGGGGTGATGGAAAATAGACCTGGAGGATGAGAGATTGATTCATCCACCCGGCCATTAGGCCTCTGGGAAGTGTAGAGGTGGAGGCAACCCAGGGCCACCACCCCCCTCGACTGGGTCTGAGGGGAAGAAAGGAGGGAGGCGTTGAACCTCCAGACCCCTACTGACCCCTTCTGTAAATCGCAGAACCAGCCTGGTCCCTAGGGGAGGGGTGGTACTGAGGGAAGGGGCCTACGTGGGATCCCTGACCTACTCCTCCAGCCTCTTCTCTCCGCCCCCACCCCGCCTGACTCGCCTGCCTCTGGAAGGTTTGCCTGGTGGGGGGGTGGGCGGGATCTTACCCTTCCCTCTGACGCAAACCGGAGGCTTGGCTGCGGAGGAGGTGTGAAGGGGGGCAGGAGGGTGAGGTTCCAGAAACTGAGGCCTGGAGAAAGGGTGCACTGAAGGCTGGGAATGGGAGGGGCTGAGTAGGGGAGAGAGTGGGAGGGGCAAGACTGGGAGGTGTGGGATGAAGCCCAGGGGCTGAGGGGAGTGGGTGAGGTTGGGAGGGGTAGAAAGAGGAGGTAACTGGGAGGAGCAAGGCAGGAGGGTGGGGGAGAAGCCCAGGGGGGTAAGGGGAGTGGGTGAGGCTGAGAGGGGTATAGAGGGGGAGGCTAGGAAGGTAAGTGGAATGGGTGAAACTGGGAGGGGTGGAGAGAGGGGGCTGCTGGGAGAAGCAAGGCTGGGAGAGTGGAGATGCAGCCCAGGGAGGTAGAGGAGGTAGTAGGAGGCCCACAGAGGTGAAGCTGGGAGGTCTGGGGCTAGAGAGTCTGGGTGGAGTGAAATAGGCTGGGCTGAGTGGAGCTAGGCTGGTAGAGGTTTCCGCAGAGTCTGAGATCATCTTTGGCATTGAAGTAAACCTTTGTACCCCAAAAAGGTCTCCCCAATTCTACACCCAGGGGTGCCCATTTTACATGTGCCAACTTGCTCTTGTGTGAACATGATGCTCAGGACTCAAGAGTTCCATACACACACAGGCCTGCTTGCACACGTGTGCATACTGACACACCCACCTGCATGTACACATGAACACGTGGGTTCATGGGACAGAGTCTCTACTGCCACAGGCATGGTCCTAGCACAGACATGTGTGTCCACATCCACATGGATATGGGTGCCCACCTGTGCTTGATGAGTGCTCACAACATACCTGTTACGAAAAGATCCCTCACATCTGGACACTGAGACACCTCCCCAAATCCCAAGAAACACATGTGTGCACTGTCAAAGAAACGTTTGCTCTGGGCATTATTAAAATATGACAAAGCCAAAATAAAACCCATTGCCACTGAGTCAGTTCTAACTCATGTGAACCCATGTGTTGCAAAGTAGAACTGCTCCACAGGGCTTTCTTGACTACTGTCTTTACCAAAGGAAATGCCAGGCCTTTCCTTTGCAGTACCGTTGGGGGGGTGGGAGTTGAACATCCAACCTTTAGGTTAGTAAAACCAGAAAGACCAAATCCACTGCCATCAAGTTGATTCTGACTCATAGAGATCCCCATTGAGTTTTGAAGGTGGTAAATCTTAATAGAAGTAGATTGCCTCATCTTTTTTCTGTGGAGTGGCTGGTTGGTTTGAACTGCTAACCTTCTGGTTAGAAGTCAAGTGCCTTATGCACTGTGGGGTAATATCAAGGATAAATCATTTGTGCCACTCAGGGACCTGATAACATGACAAGGATGGCCCTTATTCAAAAAGGAGTTACAAGGATGGAAAAGGAATAATGGAAGGAAGGAACAGTAATGTGGGGAGAACCATGACAATGCGGAGGAAGAGAGAGACACCAGAAGGTGACTGCGATCCACTCCAGGGAGACAAAGACCTGTGAGCTTCTTAAAAGAAAGTTAAGTGGGGGCGGGGTGAGTGATGTAGCAGGGCTGCAATTAAGCCAATTTGCTCAGAATATTTTTTGTTTTTTGATAAGGACTCTGTGAGTGGAGCAAAGGGATGCCATACTTGACTGTTCACCAAAAGGCTGACAGTTCAAATGCACTCACCAGCACTTTGGAAGACAGACCTAGATCTACTTCTGAAAAATCAGCCCCTGAAAATGCTGTGGAGCACAGTTCTACTCTGACATGCATGGGGTCGCCATGAGTCAGGGTAGACGCCCCTCCACGGCAGCTAGTTTGGTTTTGGTTACCTGGATGCTGGGAGCCCCAGGAGGAAGGAGAGGGAAGAATAAGAAAGAGGAAAGTGTACTTATTCAAACAGCTAGTCTTAAAGTCTTGGTGCGTTCCTTACAGAAAGCCCTGCTGTTTTCCAGCACATGAAGGGGAAGTGGGGTGGAGGGAGGATCTCTAACAAAGAGGTGGGGAGTGGGGGAGATTCCATTTTTCTCATTACACATAAGCACATACCAAGGCCATGAATATGTGGACACAACACTTGCCTAAACATTCAAAGCAGCCCCTTCCAGGCCTATGTTAGCTGACCAGGTGCCCAATGAGGTATACAAACCCACACTTCTGTATAGCTGCATACATGTGTGCATGTGTGTATGAACTGCCTGGGGCTGCCATAACAAACTACCACAAGCGAGTGGCTTATAAGAACAGAAATTTGTTTTCTCAGAGTTCTGTAGGCTGGGAATCCAAATCAGGGTATCAGCTATGTTGATTCCTTCTGAGGTTTTAGGGGAGAATATGTTCCATGCCTTTCGCCTCGCTTCTAGTGATAGCTGGCAAGCCTTCATGTTCTTTGGATTGTAGATGCCTCTTTGTATGACATCTTTCCTCTATCTGTCTCTATCTGAATTTCTTTTTCTCTTTATAAGGACACCATTCAGATGGAATTTCGAACCCCCTACTCCAGAATGACCTCATGTTAACTAATACCATCTTCAAAGACCCTTTGTCCAAATAGGATTGTGTTCACAGGCACCAATGTTAGGATTTAAACATATCTTTTGGGGGATATAATTCAATCCATAACAACATATACATGTAAACAAATGTGTGTGTGTGTGTGTGTTTCTACGTAATACAGCCCCACAAGCCCACACTTACCAATGTGTCAGCCCCACTCCCCTGCACACACATCCATATATGCACATCTACTTGCCCTAGTAACACAAGCACACTCCTCCTGCATATACACATGTGACCTTATACAAACGCAAGCTCTCATGTGCACATGCTGGCGCTAACACATGGCTGAGCCCCTGAATAGACCTTACCCCCACCACTGTATTTCTGGGAGTCCCTATTGCTCCTTTAGCCACTTTGTGGGTCTGAGAATGTGAGCAAACAGCAAGCCCTTTGTGGATTCGTACATTTAATCCACAAGTATTAATTGAGCATCTACTGTGTGTCAGGTACTGTTTTGGGCTCTGAGGACACAGCCTTGGTCCTGGGCCCAACCGGGTGGAGTCAGAGTGGGGGGCATAGGCAGGGCTGAGTTAGCTGGATGGGGAGTACCAGGGCTCTCTTTCTTTCAGAAGCCTTCCCTGACTCCCTTGCACTTGCTGGGATCTCAGAAGGTGAGTGAGAGTTTGCTAAGCTGAAGGAAGGGAATG